ATATTTATATACAAGTATATTTATCTTCAAGAGGGTATGTATGAATGGAGGTTGGGGAAGTAGGAAGGAAAACAGACACTGCATTTTAATTAGGGAGATTGGAAATTAAAATTATGGATGGTATTTGAATCCGGGGGCCCATAGCTAGATACATTCTTTACATAAATTGTCCTTATATCGGGTTGAAAGGTTTATCTTAACCCTTTGTTGCCCTTTCTAGACAGAACTGACTTTTTCTGACATAATTCCCATTAGGAAATACCTTCCTAAGGAGCTTTTTACCAACTTCTTCCTTTCTGTTATTGAACATAGTGGTTCCTCTGTTCCACTTCCTATTCTCACCTCCAGTTGGTTCTTCCCACTCCTAGCTGGCTTTTCCTTAGTGATGTTAGGTAGGGGATAGTAAGTTTTGGTTTGCCAATAATTTCTAAATCTCAGTAACTTTTCAAAGCAGTGTGTTAAGATGATAGGAAGCTAGAATGTGAATTACAGTCATGTGCCACATAATAGCATTTTGATCAACAACGGACCACATATATGACAGTGGTCCCATAATATTATAATGGAGTTAAAAGTCCCTATCATCTAGTGACATTGTAACCCTAGTAACATCTTAGCACAACATACTACTCATGTGTTTGTGGTGATGTTGGTGTAGTGATGACTACTACTGCACTGTCAGTCATATAAAAGTGTAGCACATACAATTATGTATATAGTACATAATACCTGATAATAAGTGCCTATGTTACTAGTTTATGTATTTACTATAATATACTTTTTATCATTATTTTAGAGTTCTCCTTCTACTTATATATGAAAAAAAGTTAACTGTAAAACAGCCTCAGGTAAGTCTTTCAAGAATTATTCCAGAGGAAGGTATTGTTATCCTAGGAGATGACATAGCAGGTGACAGCTTTATGTGTGTTATTGCCCCCGAAGACCTTCCAGTGGGACAAGATGCGGAGGTGGAAGACAGTGATATTGATGAGCCTGACCCTGT